ACCCTTCATCCACCAGTCGTTATTTATATTTCTTCTTTGATTGTTTTTCTTATAGCGTGTCTTGCGCGAGTTTGCGTGACCTAGAAGTGTGACAATGCGAGTAAAAAATGCGGGCTGGGAAAAACTAGCCTGCGTCGCAGGACAGTCTAAACCGCCGGTGTAGTCCGACTATACCGGGGATTTTGTGACACGTCCGCCTGCAACGAAGGCTAGCAAAAATTAAATAACAATAAAATACCGGTAAAGTAAAAAATAAAAACACGTTTGTCAAAGTTCTGATCAAGAGTTGATCGAGAGTCCTTTATTAGGCAATAGTTTACAAGTAATTGCACCTGATTGGCTCCATGTAGGTCTCTTAATTTGCTGATTTCCTTCCAACTATGTAATACACCTTTCCAACTTCAAATGCTGTTCCAAAGTTAGTGGCAAAGGCACAAGGTGGGGGAGAGGGGAGGCAGAGTGGAGATGGAAGGAGAGCAGCTGGGAGAGGGCAACAGGTTGGCACATAACAATTTTTTTTTCATTTGTTGGTATATTTTGGTAGCTCAGACCTCAGTTCATTTCTTTTTGGACAAAAGTTTCAAGTCAGTATATGCATTAGCCTGGAACACAGAAATATTTCTGACTTTTGTTTCATGCTGCTGAGAAATTTTGGCAGCATGAAACAAAGCCGGAAATCCGTCCGCGTTCGCAGGCTATCTATGCATCAGAGCTCTAAATTTCCTGATTTGGTCTTTGAGCAATTAGATGCTGGTACTGGCATGGCTTTAATCCCCTCCCCCTTTTTTTACCACTCCCAAAAGGCAAAGATGACGACTTCTCCAAAATGGATCTACATTTTATTTATCTTAAATTATTATTCTTCCTCAACATGACCTGTTCGGCCAAAAGCGTGATACACTGTGAAATATTATGTATGTGTGTAAATACTTCAAATACAAGAGAATTACTACAAAATGCACTCTAAAACCATACATTAATCATTGTAATTGACACTAAATAAAACGATTATTATTCCTAGAGTTATTGAAATTATCCAATATTAGTCTAAAAATCATCGATTAATAAATAATTCTTTCATCCTAAGAAATAAAATGGCTTTATGTAATAACAAATTCTAGGGTTCAAAATTCTAGAAATTTATACTTACTAAAAAAGAGGATGAACATAAAGTTATATAATACGTATTTACAGCTGCCCAAGAGCACAACACATGTCATCCATTGTACTCTATTGTGGAATTTCTTGGGGTATAAATTATTCTGTGGCACTTACATAGGAAGTATCTTCCTCAATGACCTAGGGTTGGTTAGTCAGGGACTCAAAGTGCGATGGACAAAATATTGGAAGAACAAAAGCTTACAAGAACCAGCAAAGGAACCTCTGAGCACTAACTCTTATTGCACCATTTGCAAACAGCTCTTTCATCCAATGTTTATAGCTCTCAATAGGCCGATTTGCCTCCCTTACTTTGTCTCATTCTGACAGACTGCATGGGGTAGATCTGAGGAGCAGCCCAGACCCCAACCTGTTTTGGAGAGAAAGTAAGGCCTGGATGGACAAAAAATTTTCATTTGGGTACTTTCTGATTCCGACAATTCTTTCTCTGTTCCCCACATTGTATGAAAGCCTGGAACTGTTACAGTTATCTTTAATCTTCACTACAGTCCTAGCTTTGTCCTTGCTGGATAATCTCACCTTGTCAAAATGAATGAATGTGGTATTTTAAAGAAGTTTGCCATGCATGTATCTAATTTCTTCAGGTTAACATTGGCAAGACACGAACACAAATCGTCCAAGAAGTACGGATACTCTGAAAATTCCTCCCTCCAATTTCTTTAAGAAGGGGTGTGTGCAATAGATGGCATAACTTAAATTCTCAGGGCTAAAAAAAATATCCCTGTATAGTAAAAAAAAAAAATGAAAATGAAAATTGTCAGAGTTTATTCTTCCGTACAAAAATATACTCTTGGAATTGTGTTCCTGCTAAATCACCATCACTACCACCACCGTTGCAACCTTCCAATACAAAACCATGTCCATACAATAGATCGAACGCATCCGCCTTCGTCAACTCGGAACCTCCGGGCCTCCAGGGTACCCGGTAATCCCTCACATATCCCCGCGCGGGGAGCAACGTTAATACAAGCTCCGACTGTTTGATATACCCTTGAAAGACTTCTTTAATGAGATCTTCCCGGCCGCTTAACAATAACTGATTTCGATATCTGTCCACTGAAACAATGATCGATCCTTGACCTTCGCTGAGCTGCATGTTTCTCCTCCGATCTTCCCGGAAAATTTGCAGCGCTTCAATCAGGTCCCCGACTTGATAAAAATCTGCCTCCGCGATAAGCTGATCAAATTCGTCAAATGATTGAGGAAGACACAGCTCCGAAGTCCGTAGAAAGTTTAAAACATGGCGGAACAGTGTTCCGTCTCTGTCAATGAAGTAGTTTCCTCTCGTGTCCTTAGCGATCTTCTGCCGTCCACTGAACATTGCTCCGAGCATCGACTTTGGATCGCGTGTTAACGTGTCCAAAGTCGTTGTATATACATAACCGCCGACATTTAAATTTAAAATGGATGGAAAACTTTCCTCCATACCTAAATTCCAGGGAACTATAGAATGCAATAGACAAACCTGGAATGAAAATCGAATGAAAACAACCCGTCCTAAGAGCCCGCTTTCCTTTTGGTCAGTGTAAGTCTTGATACTGACCAAAAGGAAAGCGAAAGAAAAGCGGGCCCTGATGACATTGATACCTTCTAGGGTGTAGAAAGGTCAAAATCAAATTCCTTTTACGAGATTTCAAGAAAATGAGAAGAATTTTCTAAAATAGCTACGAATTGTGTTGTATTTTTCTGTAAAATTTTGCTCTCCGTTTTGCGAATCAATGTAGTCTGAGTTTGCAGTGGCAAGCGTGACAAATTCCAAAATGATATCTGCCCCGACCAGTACCCCGACAAGAAAGATTTTTGCAGGCGTGTCGGAGGCGTGCCAAATGCGTAGTAAACAAAATGGCGGTCGAAGCACGGTTTAAAATAGTAAAAATTTAACTTATGAATAGAACTACGCGGTCGGTCTCGTTCGTCGAGAATCTACAGCTGGAAGTTTCCGATAATTTGTTCAATGAAGGCCTGTTACTGGCTGATGTTGATAATGACGGAGACTGCGAACTCATTGTCGGCCAAATCAATGGCGAATTATCAATATTCAAGAGTGGTTCAACTAAACCATGGCGAAGTTGTTATCATCTTGGCATGATAACTTGTGTTGGAGTGGGAGATTTGTGGAATCAAGATGAAAATCTGCTTCTCTGTATAACTGCGGAGGGATGGTGTCACATTTTTTACGTAAGTGATAATGAAATACAAGTTGTCAATAGCTACTGTAGGTTATTAGAAAAATCTAGACTTTCTTAAAGTCCTTTCCAATAACACTTCCCTGGCCTGTTGGTTTCGTCGTATAAAAATGTTTCATGAGACATAAAAACACATAATTATGCTGTAAGCTTATATAATCTATGCTGGTTATTAGAAACCACTTTTTGTTTACATATTTACGCGTCTTCTTTAAGAAGCATTGGGAGCATTTAAATAGCGAATAAATAACGATCTCGTTATTTTACGTGGCAGCTTATACACCCTGAAGGGCTTTCAGACAACGGCTTAGTATGTTGTTATCACAGTATATATAATGTAACATTTTAAGCCACTAACCACGGTCCGTGCTGCCATCTAGTTAACAAGTGTAGCATTTTGTTTTCAGATCACTCCAGAGTCATCCACGGAGAAATTGAAACCACTTTCCTCTCAACTTCTTCCATCCAATTGTAAAATTCTTTCATTAGCAGATGTGGATTGTGATGGCAGGTTGGAACTAGTGACAGGTCATGCTGACAGAACTGTCTATGTCCATAAGCTGGAAACTGGTTGTCAAGAAAAAACTGATGTCCAGAATCACCTCATCATAGGTATTGGTCTTACATTACTTACTTCCCAATGATCTACTGTCTCATTTAGTACCTGGAAGCACTTGGGTTGCTGTTTCAACATATTGATCTTATTCCATCCTCTTTGTAAGAGATGTCTTGACATTGATCTAAAAAGGTTAATTATGCTGTTGACAGAGCTCTACAGAGTTTCTATATTGGTTGCTGACTTTGTACAAGTTGTACGCTCATAATCGAGCAAATAATTGTGACTGTGAAAAAGACTATGTTGTAGCAAAATCGATGCGTAATAACGTACAACAAAGAAACAGCTTTAAGTGATTTATTCGCCCAGTGTTACACACAATGCAGGCCCCCAAAATGCAGACGGTCCTTGTGCTTAAATTGTTACGAAATCAAATAATCATACAAAGCATCTGATTGGCTGAAATCAAACTGGTGATCAAAATAACACGGGTTAGGGCATGTGCAGTATAATGTAACGCAATATCTCTACATATGTTGACTAAGGGGAGATGGAGGAAGTGGTTTGGGTGCTACACTTCCCATGCCATAATATATACATAGTGCGTAATCTGAACATATACTCAGGCTCCTTCAGGAGTAAGTGTTTACGGGGACTTGCACTCCTTTCAAGAGACTCAAACCACTCGTAAATCAACCATAGAGGCTTATCCCACTGGGAATTCACTCCCTGGGTATTCACACCCCTGAAAACTAAAACCCCTGATAACTCACATGCCTGGGGACTCGCAAACCTCCTCCCCTGGGTGAGAAAAGAAGATAGACCCTGGGAACAAGGTTGGAGACTTCCACCTCTGAAGACTCACAACCCTAGCTATTTTAACCATTGGTCATTTACACCCCAGGGGAATCATGCCCCTGGGGATTTACATCCCTGGACAGTGGAGACTTGTATCCTTGCAGCTGGAGAATAGCACCCGTGGGGACTAACCTATGAGATCTTGAGACCTGTATGCATGGGAATTCACCTCCCTGTAGGTGACTTACACCCCTAAAGAATTAAGCTATTGGTAGGCCGCACCCCTAAGGGACTCACACTGCTGGTGACTTCTATCCCTGGGGATTTGCACCGCTGGAGAATTATACCAGGCATGGAGATTCGCACCCTTAGAGACTTAAACCACTGAAGACTCACATCCCTTAAGACCCACTACTTTTAAAATCTCACACTCCTGGTGACATCACACCTCCCGGTCACATCCCTGGGGACGCATACCCCCTGTAGACTCACAACCCTGGAGATTCACACCCCAGGTAGCTCATGACCCATAGGATTCACAACTCTAAAGACTAGCAAAAAAATTTCTCATATCCATTGTTGATTGAAAGGATCATACATTGTATATTTTGTCCAGGTTGAGAGGAACTCCATCCCAGAGCCCGCATGTTTTCATTCTGTAGTTAATGAACATGGGTTGCTCTGGTCAATATCAAAATCCAGATCCAGAAATTCCTGGTTCTGGTTTGATTGTGTGCATGCATTCAAGTTCAATAATGGTTTCTGAACATGTGTAGAGAGAGTAACCGCTGTGACTAAATGCTGTCTCACCTTGGGATTTCTCCCAGAGGTCTCGAATTCTTGGTGCTAATCAAAAGAATCATGACTTCTGGGAACGAAGTTGGGGTTGAGACAGAGGTTTTGATAACATGTTCCTACATGACTTAATGTTCTGATTTGAAGTGAATTGGTCAATTTTCTCCAATTTGTCACAGAAAAAGAAGAGGTCAGAAAAAATTGCAGCACATCAGACACACAGGAACACACAGAAGCAAAGTCGACACATAAACTTGACAAGAAAGAATCTAAGCAGCAGGAAATTGTGGAAGCAAAAGAGAAAAATAACTGCCAAAATGAACAGAAAGTGTCTGAAAATGTCTTGAAAGATCAGATGTTTCCATATCGCCTTGTTCCTATCAGTCATTGGACATTGCCTTGCCAGATAAGTTCTCTTGCGGTGTTCGATGTTGCAGCAATGAGGCATCTCCTTGCCTCGTACCCTGGAGGCACTTATGCTATCTTGACATCATTTGAATTAAACCAACAAAAAATGCCTAATGAACAGGTAAGGGGGCTGTTTGTTGCTAAACAAATCTTCATAGCGTTTAAGCGTACTTTTAATCAGCCATTTAGGTCAAGTCACTGGTAAAAAATAGTTTGTAAGGGCGTTTTTTACAAGAATGTTGAAGCTGAGATTCCGGTGGAGGGGATTTGCATATGAAAGGGTGGGGATGCTTGTTGGAAATTTTGAATTAAACCCCTAAAGCAGACCAATCATGGTGTGACCGAGGATTTTTTTGACCCCTAAAAGAGACCATATTTAAAACATATTAAATATATATATTTTAATATTTCTTCGCGTGAAACCCAAAACGAGACCTTCAGGGCTACATATGGGCTACATATGGGCTACATATGATGGCGTTTTACCCAGAACACCCTAAGTTAGACCAAAATCCGAAATTTACACCCCTAAGGGAGACAACGAGCATCCCCATCCCTTTCATATGCAAGTTCCCCCCCCCCTCCCACCCCCTGGCACGGGGCTGAGATAAACCAAAGTTTTTAGAACACGTATGATGCTAAGACCACACCCCAGGCTGAGTAACACGAGAGAAAGTTTTTTGACAGTTTTTTTTTTGAAATTATAACAGTATGATATGTAAAAACTTGGTTATATGCAGTAATAACCATAAGCTTTTAGCGCCTGACATGTTTAAAAAAATAACCGACGAGTTTGTCTCATTACATGGTTCATTGTAGAACGACTTCGGTTGTATGGTCGTGTGCATTCCGTCATTCAGGACGATATAATTGGACGTCATCACAAAACAACCGTAAAAGGTTAAACGATTGGAAATGGTAACTTAAAAAACATCTTAAGAATGTGTAACGCTCAAATTGAAAATAGTTATACGCTTTGTTTAAAGGTTCCCTTAAAGAGACTAAAACTTTTGAGCTAACTTTGAGTAAAACCATCTTTATGTCAACTTTACGCGCGGTAGCGTAAATATCGGCTTTCAATATTTAGTGTAAAACTGGATGATCAGCTGTATTTTTCCTTAAATCTCTACTGATTTCTTTGCTGTCTGTTCTACATAGGGCTTTGTTTTTCATTTTTCCAGTCTTTCACTCGTGTTTTATAACTCGATACTGAAACACGAAAAAAATATGCAGTCGAACCTCCCGACTAACGGTCACCTCTCTACAAAGGCCACTTTTTTCGATCCCGGCCTACAGTCCATACATTCACACTTATTTTACTCTCTCTACAACGGCAGCGGCCGCTAAAACTCGTTCTAACTGCCAAAATAACCTCTCGACAACGGCCAGTTAGTCTACGACTGACGAAGGGTGTATAGAAAACCCCACTTTTTTCATTGTAAAAGGTCACCAAACTTGATCCCTACCGCGCGTCGTTGGTCTCTGTTCCTGTTAAGTTCTTTTTTAAATAAAACATTTTGATTTATATACGCCAAAATAAGTATTCTTTAGAAAAAAATGTTGCACCCCCGCAAAAAAGCAGGTGCCATTTTACACCCCTACCTTCCCATAACGGCCACTTTTCTCTGTCCCCAATGTGGCTATTGTGAAGTGGATTTCATTTACTACGTCAGTAAAGTAAAGATATTACGACCAACCAGTATTGCTTCTTTTATTTCTTCAGTTCTCTCGCTCCCCTTCCAACTCCATCTTTAAACCGTTACCTCTTGTTTGGGGGAGGAACAAGGATATCGCTACGAATCTGATTACCGTGAAATGCCACAACAGCGATAGCAATCAGTCTGGGGCCAATTCAGCAGAACAAGTTGAGAGTTACTTAGCGCTGTGTACGCAAGATGGTCATTTGACTCTAATGAACGGTAATAAACTGCAATGGTCGATGCGTGTTGAACAGGGCAGCTTCAATCTGTTTGCTCTGTCAAAACTTGACATCACAAACGACGGAAACGAGGAAATCGCTGCCTGCTCTTGGGACGGAAACACTCACATTATCGATCGCTTTAAGAATGTTGTGCAGTTTAAGTTTGGAGAAAACGTTATGGCTTTCTGTGCTGGCCGATACGCGTGCACGCCCGGAAAGAATCTTCCATCGCTAGTGTATGTGACTTCCTCCAATCGAGTGGTAATCTATTGGAATGCTCGCCTCTCCTCGATGGTTCCAATCAATCTGGCTGTGAAAATGAAACACAAAGCTGCTCGAGACAAAGGGAGTAGATTAGCCATCAGTAATGCTGCTGTAGATGATGGCGAAAATAATAATGGACTCTCTCCGGAGTTGTATCAACGATGTTTGTATGGAAATATTTAAGCTGAATTCAATTCTGGCCGTGCTAGAGAACACTAACTGAGAGTTGTCTTGGTAAAATTTACTGAAAGCGCGGGTGTTTTTTGAGAAAACATCCTATCCATAGTTGTAAATATATTTATAAAGTAAACAAGAGGTTGGCGGGATTGGATAAAAACGCTTATGCCTGACAACTCCATAGGAACAACAACAACTCACACTTGTAGTTGTTTCTCGTCTGGAGTGACTCTCATTTCGACAGGAATGCATGGTAGTTTTTCCTTTAAGGGATGAAAATTCGCAACAGAACTGACTACCGTTTTGAGTTTCCTTGGTACCTTTTAGGGCCTTATTGGAAAGAAATGAGAAAAACTCCCTGTCACAGGAGGAGGCAATCGACCCTCGATTAGATATTCTAACCTCCCGCTGAGAGCTCCAGCAGGGTCAAAAACGTTACTGAGAAGTCTGACCCAAATTTTTTGAACATCCTAATTTTTCGAACCGACTTTCATATATCCTAGGGGGTTGGAAAAAAATGGGATTTCACCTTTTCATGGATTTTTATTTTACAATTTTGTAGCAATTTCTTCAGCAAATATGAAGTTGAACGATTCCAGCAAAACAAAAGTCTACTTCGTTCCAGGGGTTGGTTCAAAAGTTTTCGAAAATTTCCAGCAATACGTGTAGACTTGGTTTCCTCTTGGATTCATAAGCTTTTCAGAAATATGGACACAATTTTCTATCTAGGATGTGTCTGATACGTTTTGTAAACGAAATTAAGGTGTTATATACTGTTTTTGCATGTATTTTTTTTTTGTACTTCAAGTTCAAACATCTTTCAAACATCTTTCATCTATAAAGATAGTTCAGTAAGCGCATTTCGTAAAAAAAATATTGTAATAGCTGCTTAGGCCGATTTCCACATGATATGCGCGATTTTGCAGCGATTGTAACAAACAAGTCGTTTTACAGGGGGGGTTGCTAAAAGAAATCAACCCCACCCCCCAAAAACAATATTATGGTCCATCCCCAAAACGATAGCTAACAGATTCTGTAAAGAGTTCAGTTACTTACTAAATACATCGTAAGCAGAGGCGTTTATTTAAGTGTAATACATTGGGGTGTTTTTAAGTTATTTTACCCAGCTGGAATAGTCGCAAGCTATTTTATTTCATTCGCCATTAACATAACCTTTGCGCTGAGAAGGCCTTTGGCTATGTACTAATTGGTATATTTTTTATTAGCTCTTTAGGTGCAGTAGCTTGCGACATTGAAGGAAGTATTGCCTTACGAAACTTTCATGATGTCAGTTAATATTTTTCTGACCTCCTAGGCATAGACATTGTTTTGGCTCGTCCCGCATCAGTGCTTCCAAAAGGTAAACGACGTTCTTAAGATTGCGTGACGAACTCAAAGGACCTACCCCAACGAAAGAGGAATGGAAAAGAATGAATGCGTGATGAGTCAAAAAATATCAGCTTATGTGCTTATGGGGCTAATATTTTGTTGCTCGATCAAAAATTGAAAAAACTGACTCAAATATTTTAAACAAAGACTCCTCAATCCTGTAGCTCGTTTACAGGCACAATGACCTACCCGACTGGAGGCCAGTCATGTTTATAGAACGCGCGGTACGGCGTGAGGTGAGAAGCGTGAGGTTGAGGAGCAAGGGGTGACGGGAAGGAGCTAAAAAAGAGGAGAAGGCCTGAGAGACTCCTTATGTCGCTTTCTCCCTAGCCATCTCACCTTGTGCTCCCACCGAGCGTCGTGCTGCGAACTTTATGAAAAAGGCTGGGGACTAGTCAGCTGGGCTAAAATGAAAGCTAAACATGCACTGCTGAATAAAGTTGAAGTTTATCAATTATCCACCGAGTGAGCAAACTGTACAGTGAAGGGGTCCACTGAAGTCTGAAAATGTTAGTTTTGTTTAAAGTATTTCGTGTAATCCTCAACCAGGTTTTTGTTAAGACATCAAAGGCAGCAGGAACTTTGCTTGTAACTATCCTCGAAAATCGCTGTTTGGGCAACCATCCGTTGTAGTTATTGTTGGTGAGACCGAAGACTTTGCACCGCTCTGCATTTGGGTCAGTTTCTTCTGGAATGGCCACGTAGAAGTTGCCTCCGTTAGTCGCTCTAACATGGCTATCAGCGCCGTCTGGTTTTGACCGGTGTCAGGCGTTCTTCAGGACCAGCAGAAAAGCTTGTTGGCCAAACCAGTCGATTTCTTTGGGAGGGGCATTGAACAACACGAATGTCCGGTCACTCAGTGGCCATGAAGTAGGCTTGCCCATAAAGTAATATATCCCTGCTCGTCTGGATAAGTTTTCAGTATTTCATGATCGACGAAGCCTCGATCCCACTCATTCGTTGATCCAGGTTTCTAGGGTGAAGCATTTCCACGAACATGTTCGCCAGTATGGCCATATCTCAAAGCTAAAAAGCAGTTTTATCGGGAAGTCTTCGTCAGGTAATATTTTCACCCAGTAGACATTTCCAGGACTTCTGAGCACCTCTTCCCAGCCGCCTGGGAAGTGAAAAAGTCTTATTTTGGCTGCATACTTGAGTATTCTTTGCAATACTGAAAGAAAAAATTCACATGAACATGATAAGAACGATGATATAGCAATAAGTCACTGATACAAAATGATGTCAGTAGTTATGATTTTTAATAAATCCATTTTGAAATCACTGGTTTTCCTTGCAATCTGATTGGCTCTCAGCGGTGCGATTTATTCACAAATTGCACAATTTTTTGCTCTAAATCGCATCTTTTTCTCAGCCAATGAGAATGGGACAATAAAAAAATATAACCAATCAGATTTCAAGGTTAGTTTAAAGTAACCAGTAAAATTTCAGGAAAATGAAAGACAAAAAGCCATCGTGTGGCGAAATTTGCAACTATTCAGTTGCCAAAACTTTGTTGTCGTTAGGGTTTTTTTTTTTTTCGACCGTCTTCCAAAGTTGGTGCCAGTCCCGCCATCTTGAAAATATCTTGAAACAAATGGTGCCGCGAGAGCTTGACAAGGTCCTGAGTATAAAGTTTTACGCCGAGGTCACTAAAAGAAACGGAAATGATAACGAGCTGGAATCCCTTAAAATCATGCAGAGTGCCATTGAACGGGTATTTAAAAGAGAAAAACTATCTACTGGGCATCGTGCACTCGGGAGAGTTTCACCACTCAAAAGAAAATCCATCACAGAATTACACTAGCTGCACCCAGCCTCAACCACAGATGAAAGGAAGGCCTTCCATCATTGATTCAGACGACGAGAATTGAACTTTCATGGATGAAGTAGACTGTTTTGGATCTGACTTCAGAACTGCTTGTTCCTTTGTTATGCTCGAATGAGTTTTCGTCACATGATATAATGATTCACATGATTTAGTTTTGCATACTTATTTATAGTATACATGAAAAAATTATTCGATTCTGATTGGCTGAGAACAGTGCAGTCCAAGTGTAACATCAGTGCAAAAAGTGTAACACCAGTGTAAAAAGTGTAACACCTGTGCAAATTATACATCGTAACTCTGGATTATGATTGGCTGAAAGACAATACGAAATTTTTTAAGCCAATGATATCACGTAAAATGATGACGAAAATTTTTTGCGGAAACTTTGAGAAAAGTTTTCTCGAATGAGAAAAAATAGCTTCAAGAAAGATCTTCCGGCACTTCCTCCACGCGAATTTTTTCATGTTTATATTATTAATAAGTAATCATACGGTTTTTCTCGATCAATTTGGAATTAATTTGCACTCTACTCAGTTCAATTATTTATTAAGCCAAGCTTTAATTTCTCCAAGGGGCCGGGAAACTTACTAAGGTCGAAAAACCTCTTCTCGTGAGGTGGTCTTTACAAAGCCGGCGAAAGCAAAACATAGCCGCTCGGAAACTTAACCTGTAGCCAGATCAGAGTAATACCTGATCCAAAGATTAATTCAGGTGCAGCAGTCTCAAAGGTGACCAAACTGCGATAAGGCCTTCTTTTTCTTTGATCGCAGGTTAAAAGGTGACCAAAATTCAGTACCATCACTGAATGAGCAAAACAATGGTGAAAAGATTCTCACAAAAGTCAAATCCTATCAAACTCTCAATTTTATGTACATATGGTTACTTCAGTCTCCAGACTCATATAGTACACTTTTTTCTTTGTCTTTACATTTCACTGGTATATAAAAAAAACTGTAAATGCACGAGTAAATAAAGTTATTGTTGTTGTCAGTTGAACAACCACAGACGAGCGAAAGACAAAAGGTAACGGAGCACACAAACGCGTGTCTCGATCCGACTGCCATGCCGCCATACCGAAACCACATGGTCATTCGTCATCGAAGGCGCAAAGGTTGACAGCAAAATGCTTATTTGTCGTTTGATATCACTTTAATAAATGTATACGCCAGAAGACGCACGCACCTTCCAAAGACTTTGATAAACCCTTTTAAACAACATTACGACTTACTAGAGAAGAATAGCTGGAATTTTGGGATGATCTCGATGGACGGGACAGGACGTGACCACACCATTTTCTAATTCCTCGAGAGACCGATATAATGAAGCGGCGCCACAATCTCTTTGGGACGGCTAAATTTGCTTCCACCACAGAATAGTACGCAGGACAACCAGCATGGGCACAGGACACCAAGCACAAAAATAATTGTGAGCGCTCTCCCTTCGCTCGAACGCAAAAAAGACGCCAATTACGGGACCAGTTAGTGTCCGCTTAACAAACGGTGTCTACCTAATTAGGGGTCTGCTTCATTCATAGAGATTTTAACTATATTCTCATGCTTAATGGACAAAAATTATCAAGTCGAAATTATAAAGATCTTCGCATCTTCCTCGGAACTTTGTAGCAACCTTCGAAAATCCTCCCCCTTCCCCGCAAACCCGGGAGAAATCTTCCAAAAAATTCAGAATGGACCTGTTTATCGTTGTCATGCTTTTCCGATTTTTTCATTCAAGTAAAAATAATAATAATAATAATAACAATAATAATAATAATGATAATGATAATGATAATGATAATGATAATGATAATAATAGTAATAATAATAAGCCTCACCCCTCGATTTATCCTGTTGAATTTAGTAAATATGTGAAGTTTCGTAAGAATACGTTGTAAACTCGTAAAAACATCAGAGGCCAAACTTGCCACCAAGTTTGTGCCCTTCCGCAACATGGCGGCCGTAAAGTAACAGAAACATCTGTCATTGAGTTTTGCTATTATTTAATGACGAGAAGTTATTACTCTAGGGCTCCAACACATTGAAATCAATACTTCCTCTAGTACAAGAACTATTTTGACGTACGCGACAGCCTTCTCAGGCCACGTTTTAAGGCAAAAGCTTGGAAATTTAAACGTGTTTAAATACCAAAACGAAGTACCCTGTCGAGCTAAAACGTTAAAAAACATCAAGCTCTTAGAGTCTTTTATATCTGAATATCTGATGAAACTAAAACCTCAGAAGTAATTTTTTTTTTTAAATTTTGGAATATAATGACGTCATATGAAAAGAGGCATAGTTGATATTGCGTGACATCGGTAAAAAGGTCCTTTGATTGGACTTAGAGCAACTGATTTGGAAAGTCTCCGAAAAAGAACGGGTAAAAGTTGCTCAGAATTGAATGCAAAAGGAAATCGAGTAGAAAGTTACTCAAAGGAAAAAAAGGCTCGCAACATGGATAGAAACTTTTTTCTTTTTACGTACTGCGGGTGCAGTCGCCGTATGTAAGGGTCCTTTCTGGAAATAAACCAATCACAGCCCCGCTATCATTTTCTTGCAGGCCAATCCATCAAGCCGGCAAGCTACGCTGTGATTGGTGCAGCGTATTTAACTAGGCGCTGATTGGTCCAAGTGAATACTACAGCAAATCGGTAGAAAGCTTCAAGGAAACGGGGACGGGGAACGTTGCGTGACTTCGGGCAGAGGAGACTATCCGGTACGTGAAGATCATTTTTTAATTTTTTAAAATACACTGCTTTGTGTAATGATATCTGGAACAGAGAAATGTTCGGAAATCGCATTTGCTCGATCGCGTGCACGATCAGATTTTTACTCGCACCACATGACCACGTATTCAAAATGGCTGCCGCGATACAATCTTTTCATTCGTCTTAATGAAATTTGCATTTTAAAGACTCCCCATGTTGCTGATGGGTGTTAACCAAGGTCTTTCCTAACATCAGTTCGTCTGTATCTTGCTTGTCAGTACTTGTTTGGCGAAGTGCTTCGGGAACTTCTAAACAGTGAGTACCTATGACCTTTTCTGTCCGAGTTCATGTGCAGTCTAAAAGGAAACGAAACAGACTTAGTAGGGTAAAGTTGAGCGATGGATTCAGTGACCCTTGAAGACACATCACTTTCCTTTCTGTTTATTGACATGATCTACAGTTCAAAACTTGAAGACAAAGTGAGCAGTTCGTGTCGCTTAGGGTTTGCCACTACAATTTCATCAGATTTCATTGGCATGTAGAGATTGAGAGGAACATAATTAATGTTAAAAAAGCACAATTGGGATGCTTAAAAGGTCTTTAAAGTTGGTTTCGATCGAATACTCTGACTAATGCACTTAAAGTTCTCATTCATAGTCTAAGATATTTTTTTCTTAGCACTTTTGGTTCTCTGAAAATATGTGTACTCTGCTTGCAGTAAGTCAGAGCAAGCCCTTGTGAGTATGAATCCCTGTTTCCTTGCCTCAGAAGATCTGTACTGTAACTTACGGACCAAGTATCTCACCCTTGTGCGAAGCACATGGAACAGTAAATTATGCAACATTTTCAGCAGTCCATATTGTAGAAATTATACAGCAAACCAAATTGACCAATCATGATGCCGGTATATATTATGTGCAGCAGGGGTTTCATAAATGTTTTCAACAGGAGGGCAATTGGTTTTCAGAGGCGAGCAGAATGTTTTTAACTGAATGTCTATAAGACAAACTTTCCTTTAGAATATTAAGAGCATGGTAAAACCAGGTGGGCAAAAATATCATCTTTACAGCTAGTCTGAGTCAATTTGCCTGGTGCCAGGCCCCTAATGCAAGCCCTGGTGCTGTAATGGAGGGATACTGTAATACAAAATATAATAGTCTGCATTCAAGTGAATCAGGGCATAACATTTTAATTTGTTTTAACAGGCATCTGGAAAAGGCGATTGCAAGTGAATATGGCCTCTGCAGTAGAGTACACTAAAGAGCAACTGAACTACTACAGGCTTTGTTATGTTATGACTGACATCCTAGCTGATGGTCTGCGATCAATCTTCAAACAGGAATGGGACAATCGCTACGAGGGCACGAAGGGAGAATGGAAAGACGAGCCCAGAAATGGACTGGACTTCTGGAATGGGGAATCTCCTGATAACAAACATAAACATGCACATCTTCTGACCACCATGATAAATGGAAGTAGAGCAGAATGGAATTGCACCATGCTGTTTTATGCCATCCTTTCCTCTGACTGTATCCACAGTCTGATTCCAGCAATCCAATCAAATGTGGAAGGTCTCCAAAAGCTCAGAAAAGAAGCATTTACAGAGATGCCACAAGACCAGCTCACTGATGCAGAGTTTGAAAATGCCATCAGCAAAGTTGATGTTGCCTTCCAAGCACTCGGTCTGCCGACTGAGAAAATTCAAGCAATCAAAAATCAGACAAGTTTTGGTAAGGAGGAATTAAGAGATGTCTTGAAAAAGGCTGCTAACTTTAAGCAGAACAAAACTCAGGTTGATGAGGCTACTGTGTACAGTGACCTGGGTAGTGTACACAATCGCTTGAGTGACCTGGACAAAGCAAAAGAGTGTTATGATCTTGCCCTGGCCATTCGTCTAGAAAAACTCTTACCAGAGCATGTTGATGTGGCAACTACTTACAATAAGCTGGGCAGGGTGCACCTTCTCCTGGGTGACCTTCAGCAGGCAAAAGAGTATTTTGATCGTGCATTGGCGATTGGTCTGAAAAAGCTTGGGGCTGAGCATGGTGATCTTGTAACCACTTACAATAACCTTGGAGATGTTCACATTGAGCTGGGTGAATTGGAGCAGGCAAAAGGTTATTATGATCATGCACTGGCCATTGCTTTGAAGGACGGAGTGGAACATGGCAATGTTGCAGTGACCTACAATAATCTGGGAAATTTGTACAGTGACTTGGGTGAGCTGGAAAAGGCAAAAGAGCATCTTGATCGTGCACTGGCCATTCGTCTGAAAATGCAAGGCCCTGAAGATGTCACTGTCGCAAGTTCTTTCAGCTGCCTTGGTAATGTATACCTTCAGTTGGGTGACCTGAGGCAGGCAAAGATGTATCAAGATCGTGCACTAGCCATACGCCTGAAGAAGCAAGGCCCTGAACATCTTGATGTGGCAATGACTCTAAATAACCTTGGTAATGTGTACGAAAACGCTGGTGGCCAAGAGCAGGCGAGAGAGTACTTCAACCGCGCTCTTCCCATACTCCTGAAAAAGCTGGGACCTGAGCATGTTTATGTCGCAGCTACTTACAACAATCTGGGTAATGCTCACATGAGCCTGGGTGATCTGGAGCAGGCAAAAAAGTACTATGATCTTGCATTGGCCATTCGTCTGAAAAAGTTTGGTCCTGAACACATTAATGTTGCAAATAGTTACAACAACCTGGGTACTATACACAGAGCCCTAGGTAACATGAAGCAAGTGAAAGAGTATTGTAATCTTGCCTTGGCCATCCGTTTGAAAAAGCAGGGGCCTGAGCACGTTGATGTCGCATCTACTTACAACAATCTGGGCAATTTACACAAGGATCTTGGTGACCTGGAGCAAGCCAAAGAGTACTATGACCATGCACTTGCCATTCGTCTGAAAAAGTTCGGGGCTGAACATAGGGATGTTGCAACTACTTACAATAACCTTGGCAATGTACACCTCCACATGGGTCACCTGCAGGAGGCAAAAGATCATTACAATCGTGCACTGGCCATTAGTATGAAGGAACTTGGTTCTGAGCATTTTGAGATTGCAGTAATGCACAGTAACCTGGGCGTTGTGCACACAGACCTTGGTGACCTGGAGCAGGCCAAAATGTGTTACGACAATGCACTTGCCATTCTTCTGAAGAAGCTTGGACCAGACCACTCAGCTGTCAAGACAGTTCAGTACAACATAGCCGAGCTTGAACAGAAGCAGCAGAAGTAAATATTTGTAGCCTTTTCTTAGCACTGGATGGGAAAATTTTAAGTGTTCAGAACACCAGAAATTGGCCTTAAAGGTGAAGGTAAATGTAGGTTAGTATTAAAAAGGTTTTTAGCAGCAACTTGATTCAGTGATTTGGTTTCCCAAAGGTTTTTAATGCAATAGCATTTTAATTAAAGTTAAGTTTGAGTTTAACTTCAATTTTTTTTAATTGTAACTTTCAATTCAAACTAAGAAATGTATGTTTACATTTAGGCTGCACTTGAGTTAAATGTGCTAAAAGAGTAACATGCTAGGAGACATATACACTCAATATACTACTAGACACAAAGAAAATTAAGCAATTCACAAGATGAAAAATATACATAGAGGGGGGGGGGGGGGAGAAAAGTGACTAGAAGATGCTAGTTACTGGGCTAAAAAGATACATATTGAAAGAAAAAACCGAATGGTTTTGAATTATTAAGTCCTCTTGAAAGAAAAATCAAGGAAAAATTGTTTACCAAATATACACCGTCGTATAATATTTTTATAATCTAGGTTTATCCTTACATTTAAGTGAGTAATAAACCTGTTAATCAAGATTATTTACAGATAATGGAAGTGCCAAGCCAAGCCCATGTGTATAAGCTGTATGCCATGTATAACCTCATCAGTGCAATTCTAGCTAGCAAGCATGTGTACGTGATTGTAGAATTATTTGCTTTACCCAACCCACCCTCCCAAGGGTGTTATCGAGCGCACAGCGGTCTAGGCAATAAGACCCACAGAACCCCCAAGAGAGTTGAACATTGTGTATTTACCAGCAAAACAGTGTAGTAGTTACTGAAAAGAATCAAAGCTGTCAAATATAGTCTTATTGTCAGTCTCAGCTAAATAAACCTCTGAAATGAAGCTATAATAGTTATTGTTGAGCATGCCTCTTTTTTCCCCTGCATTTTATTTCCATAGTTAAATAAAGTTCTGCATGCATACATGTATGCATGCTTCTTGGACATGAGGTGGCCTAGTGGTTAGGAAACTGGACTTCAGATTGAGCAGTCAAGTTTGAGCCCTTGCTGGGGTCACCTCATTGTGTTCTTGGGCAATACATTTCTAATACTCTCACAGTGCCTCTCTCCACCCACGAGTATAAATGGGTACCAGGGAATTTGGAGGCTAACCTTGTGCACGTGATGGATGAGCATCCCATCCAGGGGGGAGTAGAAATACTCCTAGTCATTTAATGCTATAGAAACGGGGAAATAAGTTCAGGCTGTATGGGCCACTTGGCCCAATGTAGTGTTGAACATGCTGCTCTTCAGCAGTTCAAACAGAGGTAGTACAGTGTAGCAGCAACAACTACAACAAAGGAGAGGACTGGGACAGGCATAACGGGTGAGTGGACACATCTTGCCAAGCTCCTACTTTTGGTTGCCCTTAAAAGTCTAAATGAAAATTTTCATGCCAGCAAAGTGAAAGGACAGGCCGTTACCTTTACCGCCATCATTCAAAAGGTTTACTTAAAAACAACAACAATAACAACAACAACAACAACTTTTTAAGTATGTTCAGTTTTTTACTGCTGATGGATTGATCATCAGTTAACTCAGGAGGCAAAGTTGCTCTGATCCTGTCTTGAAATTGAAGTCATTGACAAGAAGGTGAGATCACTTCATATGCTACCCACACTTGATATAGGCTCTCCTATAGTACAGTCACCCCACAGGTCCCCCCTAGTATGGTACTTTAGGTAGCCTGCTGCAGAGGCGGATCTTGGTCAGTATATTTCTGTATGGCTAAGTCAGAAAAAGCTGCACTAATGTCATCTTTTTGCAGATATTCTACAGTCACTTCACATCCTTCTTATTAACTGTTTTCCATTTGTGTTGGTCTCCTTAACACTAAAGAACAGCCTTGGACAGTCCAGGAGCAAAGCATGTGACAGTCTTGTCATGTATCTTATACTGTACAACCTTTGAACTATGTTTCACTTTGTTCTGGTCTCTGCTAGTTATGGTGAGCTGAAAACAAAGAAGACAGTGACAGAAGCAGTTGTCAATGTCATGCAAATTCTCCTAACTGGTTTAATACAGTTGTTATGGTAGTCATTGGGAGAATTTGAATCTTAATCAACAAGTGAAAGCTGGACTCCTGTAGAATTCTGCCATGCTCCCTGGTCACCCTCCATAGGAGTGGTCTGGATATTTTCTGAAACAACACAATGCTGTGTGCCAAGGTTAATGTGCAGTTCCAGAAAATATCCATACATGTACTCCTCCCACAGAAGAGATTGGAATTTCCTGGGGGGAGGGGGTTCTCTAGGACCAAAACATTTAAAGAAATGTATTAACCTTATTTGGAATTTCCAGAGGGGTGGGCTCTTAGAAAAAATCCCTTCCGTAAGGGAGGTATGGGTATTTTCTGAAACTAAACAATGCCATCTCAGGGACTCCATCTATTAAAGTTCTTTCCATGCCTTTTAAATACAAGAAATTCAATCATGGGTTTGCAGTAGTGTAATTCTACTAACCTGACCATGGACATCTTTACAGTAGCCACTGTTAAGCCCTCTGACATGAAGTTCCATGTGCGCGACATAGCACAGCTGTTTCCATAGTAATAGTGACTCTTCATCATCTACATCATTGTCATTGTGTACTAGGG